TCGCCATCCAAGGAAATCGAAACCCTCTTCTTTCCGTCTCCTTCCTAATCGCTTCAGAATCGATCGATACTCACCAAATCTCTACCGTCTCTCTCTTGGCGTCGTTGCTGAATGTACAGCGCCTCCACCGTCTCTCCCTGACCTCGGATGGTACGCTACAGGATCTTCCAAGGAGCATGGAAGTGAATGGGACCATGAGACGGCTTGGTGTTCATACTGTTACGGAGATAACGAAGGTACTTCATTTTCTGATGAACAAGACCACCGGAAAGGCAGATCTCTTCAGTGCGCATGACGGTGACCCGCTAACCATTCACCTGTCTAGCTTCCGCCTATGTCGTCGTAGTAGCCGGATGGGCCACCAGACTGTAACTCGGCAGCGACTCCGTCGGAATCGAATACAACACTCACCGCAACATAGGAATCACACTTTTTGCCTTAGGAACCATTCAGGTATGAAAAAATCGATCACACTTTCATAATTTCTCTCTCTAACTCTGTAATTTTGAAATCGAAAGACACATACTGGTGAGTTCACTTTCTTTGTTAGGGTTTATCTTCTTAGTTATCGTGAATTTTTCTTTAGTTTTATGCTGGCGTTACCTAAAATTCAAGAAATTACAAGAGTCCGAGAGTAATTATAGCATAATAACAACACCATTCATACCAAAATAGAACTACAAATCGACTTTCGATGTCCAAGTTCATCGACAGAATGTGACTTTTATGGAGCATAGTAGAATTTATGATAAACACTTAAAATAGGGTTAAATTGTAAAAGAAACCATACCAAGTGTAACTACCGTCATTATACTAGTTCTAATATGTATTTGACTTTATTTGATATTGATTAGGACTATGGAAAATATCTAGTGACAGGGGAAACCCTAACTACGGATGATCTTGTTCCAATAAAAACTGGCAATGTTTGCATTTCGTAAACTTTTGTTGCTTAATCTTATATTTCCACAATTTACATCTCAATCTTTACATGTTGAAGCTTATAACTTTTATGAAAAATGCATGCAAATAGTGAAACCTAGACCAGTGCAGGCTGCAAGTATTCCTGGAATGCTTGGAATGTTTCAGAATGTATGTGTTCTACCTTGTTCTATTAACAATCTTGTTCTTAATCATCTAAATTAAGGTTATAGACTTAACTCTCATATGTTTGCTACTCCTTTTACTTAAGGAATGGGATGCTTTCGTGTTATCTGCTTTTGCATCAGAGCAACAATTACATACAACAAGGCAAGAGCTTAGTCATTGTTTATACCAGGTACCACAAACAACTTACTTGTTCCCAATTTCAAACCTTGTTTTATCTTCCATTCTTCAAATTGTTCATTTTCCAAGCTCATGTTTATATTATTTTTGTAATGTCAGCATGATTAAGCTTGTCGGGTGATTGCAAGATTAAAGAAAGAACTTGATGAAGCAAGGACAATGTTGTCAAGTTTAGAAAGACAAGCACCAATGCCAGCAACAACAGCAGTCTCATCAAATGCTTATGCTATTAGCAATGGGAAAAGAGGTTCTTGTTTTCTGTTCTTCATTTGAGAGGTCTGTAATCTTTCTTGATTTTGTTCTTTTGTGACTTATATTTCTTTCAACTTTTTTGTTTTAACAGCTACTACTGAGGGTGATGAGTTTGGTCATGATGGTAAGAAATTCCGCCCTGGAATTTCTTCCAGTATCATAACCGAATTAACAGACTGCAAGGTTGCACTTTCACAGCAAAGGAAGAAAAGACAGGTATCATGGATTCCGAAAGAACTGGAATTCAAGATTCCATTCCATGGCTTGTTTGATTTTTGCATTCCGACCCAATTGGAATTCAAGATTCCATTGTATGGCATGTTTGTTTGCCAAATGGAAACAAGTTGACATTTTTAAAAACTGAAATATCATTTTTGCATTTTTTTTCAAGATTCCTCCCACATTGGTTCCATTGGATGCTATTGAGAGGTATACACAGCTCAACAGTTACCCTCTTCACAAAACAAACAAAGCTAGAATTTTATCTATTGACATCCATCAATCAAAGGTAAATATTTTGTAATTCCAACTGCATTTCCACGTTCATTCTTGATCTTTTTATTTTGGGTTTTTAAGAAAGATATGTTTTGCACATCTCAGGATCTTATTGCAACTGGTGGAGTTGATATGAATGTTGTAGTCTTTAATCGATCTTCAGGGGAAATTGTATCTACACTCAGTGGCCACTCCAAGAACATAACTTTTGGTGTCCCCTTAAGAACTGAATCGATAAAGTGTTTTGAATAGGTAATGATTTATGTTGATGTAAATATTGTTTTTTTTTTCATACTGAATGCACCGTCTCAGAACAAAAGACTATTTTACCCTCATGTTAAAAAAGTACAAGGGTAGGATTTGTCATGGGAAAACCCTATCAAATTTTGTTCAGATATATGTATTTATTTTGGGACCGTTTTTGTGATTGTTTTTCTCCCATAATGACATGTCCTGTAAAAAAAATCATGTTATGTGACTGCATATGTATTTCACTCACAGGGACCATTTATGTAATCATTTTCTACCACCGAGACTGTTTTGGAATGTATTTTTGACACATGGACCATTTTCTGGCAACTGCTATGATGGTTGGGACTGGAGTTGGTATAAAAGGAAGGATAGCATTATAAAAGGCACATAAGGTCTGTTATTTTTTAAACACTTACATTTTAAAAACATCAAAACTTTTTCTGATTGTTTGGGACTAAATTATGCACAGGTCAATTATATTGTGTTACGTTATTTGAAGTTTATTATTAATATTTGATATTTTAAAAATATCCAGTTGAAATGCTATAAGAAACAACATTAAAATTTCAAATATGTTACGTTATTGTGTTAAATAATTAAGAATATGTTAAATTAAAAGCATCATGAATACCTTTTTAAAATTTTAATACAAAAGCATCATTGATTATATATTAGGCTAAATTGTACTTCATATATATTCAAACTGAAAATACGTACTTATACATATCGGTTTGAGACGCATCGCAACTAATGAGTTCAACGACGAAGTCAATGAGAAGATATGTTCGGTAAATTTTTCTTTATATGAATAAAGTCGTTTGTATTTTTTTTATAATATGAAAATAAAAAATATATAATAGTTGCATCGCTCATCAGTTTTATAATATTTTAGAATAAAAAAAGTTTGATATTAATTGAACTGTGAGTTAATCAATAAAGTTAAGTGAGTTAATCAATAAAGTTACTTAAATATATAGAATTTAATGGGTATATTTATACAAAAAGTAAAATGATCTGTTTTGAAAATGGTATTTTTGTATTTACTTTTTTTTTAAACAAATCGTTAAACATAATATATAGTAAAATAATTTATTTTAATTTAACTATACACTTGAATATTAAAGAACACATTTTAAATTTAAGCAATCTCACAAAGTAATGTGTAGAGATGTTCCCATTCAAACTAAAGAGAAAGAAATTTCCAATTCAACTTAGTTTCTCTATGACAATCAATAAAGCTCAAGGACAAACAATTCCAAATGTAGGTGTTTATCTACCAGAATCGGTATTCTCACATGGCCAACTTTATGTGGCGTTGTCCAGAGGAATATCACGTGTCAATACCAATGTATTAGTAAAGCCGGAAAAAACGTGTGATAATGATGGAATCTACACATCAAACGTTGTGTACAAAGAAGTTTTATGTGATTAACAATGTACAATCAACAACTTATTACTTTACAATTTCTTCAAATATGTATCTTAGATGCTCATTTGATGTTTAATGCAGGGCTAGGAGATGAAACAACATGATTGCAGATTGATGTAGTTTATATATTGGACATGTTATAAATGTACAAAACTACATGATTGCAGATTGTTATTATTTATATATTGTAAAATCAATATGAACTATTAGATGAAATTCCAAATGTAGACTCAACTTCTGTCGTATTGTATAACTATGCACCTAGCAAGAAACTATCCGTTGAAATGAACTATTCTACACAAAATACTCTACCAAAATGCCGCAATGAATAGCTCACGTCTAAAGGAAACTAATCATCACTGATAAAACTATCTTCCGAAAGAATCTCTTTGCCGTCCGGCGCTTAGCGCGGGTAAACGGCTAGTGTATATATATATATATATATATATATATATATATATATATATATGGGGATAGGGAATATACATTACAGCCCCACCTAAGCTTAGGTACTAAACTTCTAAAATATGTCGTTTTAACATGCTAAATATACCCGATTTGGTTTCACTTGGTAAATATATCATCCTCCATAACATTTCTTTCTTTCATTATCGTTTTATCATCTCTGTTTTCTTTCCTCAATTATCGTTTATTATTTCACCCAAGTGAACATTACTAAACCTTAAACTTAAACCCTAAACCCTAAATTTAAACCATAAACCCTAAACCTAAACCCTAAACCCTAAATATAAACCCTAAACCTTAAATCTAAACCCTAAACCCTAAACCCTAAACCCTAAACCTAAACACTAAACCCTAAATCTAAACCCTAAACCCTAAACCCTAAACCTAAACCTAAACCCTAAACCCTAAATCTAAACCCTAAATCTAAACCCTAAACCCTAAACCCTAAACCCTAAACCCTATTGTGTCGATCTTGAATTTACATTTTGAAGTATTAATCGTGAATCCATTAACCGTAATCTTTATATAGTAAAACAATGTATTTTCAAGAGGTTTAGTACCTAAGCTTAGGTGGGGCTGTAATGTATATTCCCTTTTCCCTATATATATATATATATATATATATATATATATATATATATATATATATATATATATATATATATATACCTAAAAAATCATAGAAAAAAAACTCGTTAATGTTTAGAATAAGTTTTGACTCTGTTATTTGAAAAATGAAATTAAAGGTCCATTAGAAAAAGTCTGTTCAACTTTGGACGAAGTTATGAAGATCTGATAATATCCCCCAACTTGGTATCCCATGGGTGTTTTGGCATCTTACTCAAGTATAGGTAAAGTCAAAGTCTTTAGAGATTTGACATTAATGAATAGTTTATTTTTGATAGCTATATATGTATCTACATTTTCCCATTGTGTTTCCAATTTCAAGTATCACTCTTCAAAATCCTAACTGAAGTCATTAACCCTTCTTCTACTGTTCTACAAGTAAGATATGGATGAGGGGGGCGATCAAGGGTATGTAAGGCTAAAAGAGAGATCATTAGAGGTAACACCATCATGGGCAGTAGCAGTGGTGGTGTTTGTCATACTTGCCATTTCCATTGCTCTTGAATACATCCTTCATCTCTTAGGCCATGTATGTACCTCATCCTTCTTCTCCTCTCTTATCTTCTTGTGTCATAAAACCATTTCTGTGTATAACTCAAAAAGCCTTAATGATCTGAACGTTATTACAACTAAGAAAATATTATATCACTTGAAACCACATTCCTTTTTGGACCAAATGCTTCTTTATTCATTGATTTCCATTATTTTTGGAACATCTATTTGTTTATGTCTTCTTATTCTAATCATATTTAGTTATTTACTGTTTTTCCACCGACAAAAACATGACATTCAACAAAAAACTCCAAAATGTTAAACAAATGAAAAGAAATAAGCTCTAAATCCTTTTCTCTTTGTATCGTTTTGTAGTGGTTACATCATAAACACAAGAAAGCCCTCAGTGAAGCCCTTGAAAAGATCAAAGCAGGTAAATTTATAATGGTTACTCGACGATCAGTAATCATTTCATTTTATATTGTTTGACTTGTTTAATTTATACAAATGCATACACTTTTCAGAATTGATGATTCTAGGATTCATATCGCTGCTGCTAACGGTGGGTCAAGGACTAATCTCTGATATATGTATTCCAAGTAGAGTTGCAAGAACATGGCACCCATGTAACAAGAAAACATCAGATGATGACTACTATGATCCATGTCTGAAAAAGGTATATAATTTCAGTGATTTTGATTAGATTTAAGTTTAATTCAGTAATTATTTAAACAAATGTAGATATATAGATGGGAGCTAATTAATATGTAGACAGTTGATAGTTCGGAACATGATCACTTTGTCGTTAATCATTTCACTGCTTTTTTCTTGAATTTTTGTATTGTATACAATATAATATTAAATGATTTAAAACTTTCTGTAGCGAAAGGTGCAAATGGTGTCAAATTATGGGATACATCAACTCCACATATTCATCTTTGTGTTGGCTGTGGTCCATGTCCTGTACTGCCTTCTTACCTTGATTTTGGGTAGACTCAAGGTAAAAGATTTCATGATATATATATATATATATATATATATATATATATATATATCTATATATATATATATATATATATATTCAAAAGTGCAAACAAAGCATGCAATACGTTCTTTAATAAAATCTTTAATGAAATGGATACAGATGAAGAAGTGGAGGGCTTGGGAAGAGGAAACAAAGACCGTTGAATATCAGTATCATCATGGTAATTGACGTTATATTCATATTAAAAGATTATATATATATGACAAATTGACAAAATGTATAATTATAATTTTATGTTATACACAGATCCGGAGAGATTTAGATTTGCAAGAGAGACAACATTTGGCCGTCGGCATTTGAGAGTTTGGAGCAACTCAACAGTTCTTCTATGGATTGTAAGTATTTAATTATAAGAATCATCACGAGATTCACTTAATCAACAACTATCAAAAATTTGTTTAGTATAAGTCCTTGGCATAAATGGCAAGTTAAAATCTTGGAGTTTTAATCGGTGATGATGAGAGTTGATAATGCAACTTCGTTTGTAAAATAAGTAAACAGATTTATTTGTATCTTCACGAAAATACATAAAAAAAATTATAAGAAAGAAAATGTTTACTCTACTCTGTTTATTTTCTAGAAAAAAAAATTACAATTTCAATATATTTGTTTAAGACTATGTCTGGCGGACTAGTTGAAAAGCTAGCTAATAGCTGAAAAGCTAGCTGTTAAATAAAAAGCTAGCTGATAGCTGAAAAACTAGCTGATAAAAAATAAAGCTAGCTGAAATATATAAAATTAAATAAAAAGACATGTAAGAGTATGTATTGCTATAAATAATTAATGGGTGTATTTGAAAATTTAAAAAAAACTAGTTTAAATAGTTTTTCAAAAAGCTAGCTTATAAGATGGTTTATAAACTATTTTTTGCAAATAAGCTAATTTATCAGATAATTGTGGCACGCCAAACACAGCATAAATATTTAAACAACTATATATATACGTGCCATTCAAAAACAAGAAAGGTGAGTAATTCAAGAAATTCAATCACATGGACAAGTTGACATTCTCTATCAATATGAAAATTGCATTCAACCACATATAGAATGTCTGCTCTAAGATTGAATGAGCACCACAAAAAGTTGGATCATTATCATGCAATAAATCTATGACTTTGGTAACGTCTTTAAATAGCACTCTGACAATTTTTCTATTTTTATTTAAAACGACACAAATAAATTTCTTTCTAAAAAACATTTATTTAACATGTTTATATTTACACTTACGTAAGTTTCGGTGTGTCACGATTGAATGGAGTTTATGTATTTCTTAAAATAGAAAGATTATCATTTTCATCAGTTTTAATCATTTTTATGTCCATTAAGTTACTCCAAAAAATAAATAAATTATAAATTTTATATTAAAATTATTCCTTCTAAAAATAAAGGTTTTAATTAAAAAAATATTTTTCATAATAAATAATTTTCATATTTTTAAATTACAAATATTTCCTATAATTAATACATCTTTATTTAATTATGGTAATATTTTTCATAAATAATGTTTATTATATTTATCGTTAAGACATATATTGGAAAATCCCAAAATATACAAACTAATAATGAAATAAAAAAAATATACAGCTAGCATTTAACTTGAAACATTGTTTACATGATAATCCCATTTCGTTAGATTTATTAACATTTATTGTCTTGCAAAATACAGGGCTGTTTTTTCAGGCAATTCTTCAGATCGGTTCCGAAAGTTGATTATCTTACCCTCCGACATGGCTTCATTAATGTAAGTGCCCTACAAAAATAACCTCTAAATTTATTTCTTAGACTACTAGGTGTGGGCAACATGTTATCACACCCAAATTGTCCACCTCATCATCCTAGTCACAATTTAGTGTTATAACACTAAGGGTGGAAATGGGCAACACCAAATAACATGGGATAACACATACTATTTTCTGTTTCTTTTTTTATTTTTTTTGGATGTTTTTAATTTCTATTATTCTAATTTGTTTTATTTTTTATTTACTTCATATATTTCTAATTCGTTTTATTTTTTTAATATATGTCATATATTTATAAAAAAACATATAAATTAATAAAACATAATTTCATTAACTAGAAAATTAAAAATACCATACAAACTTAAAAAAAAACATTACAAACTAAAAAAAAAAAAAACATTGAAAAAAAACACACGATAGTCCTAATAATTAAAAAAAAACACCGACAAACTATTCTTCGCCCAAGTATTTGCTTTCGATCTTTGCCTTCATCCTCCGTATCACCTCCGCTCGTCTCGGTGACAAATTTTCTTCGTTCGTCGTAAGAATCGCCAAATCCTTCGATATCCGATCTTCTTCGGCTTCTTGACGAAGGAATTCCAAATGCTCCCGTTGCAATTCATATCTTTTATTTGCGATTTCCGTGTGCGCGTCGAATTTTTTTTCATGTCCTCGTTGTCTCGAAGCCGACTTTCATTCTCCTCCGCATGTCGTTGAGCTCGCTTCGCTTTGTCGCGCCCCACCGGTCGTCGTGGCGGAGAGATTTCCTCGATGTCGTCAAACTCGTTCAGGATCTCATCGGTGTCCGCGTTGAGGTCGATGTTCGTGTGTCCGTCGGAAACGTCAACCGAACCCGAACCACGAGACCTCTTCGATTGTTGTTCCGATGATGTTGGCGTTTTCATCCATTTTGGATCTTTCCTCACTATCTCCCATACTTTTTCATACTCAAATACGTGCCCCATTTGCAAGTGATATTCCTCCCTCGCGACTCTAAACACATCAAAATCATTGGCACCACTTTGATGTTGCGAAGAAAGTTTGTTGTATATGGAGTTGAATTTGGTGTACTTCCGGCTAATTTGAGTCCATTTTCCACTAAGCATATCATTATTGCGATATGTGTCACCCTTGTTCAAAATCGTGCGGAATTTGACGATTACGGCATCCCAAAAAGCAACTCTCTTCATATCTTTCCCCATGGTTGGTTGTTTTGAAGTACCGCACCAAGCCACCGCCAACGCATGCTCTTCCTCCTGTGTCCACCATGTTGGAGGTGCTTCTGTTTCATCCGTCCGGACAACAACCTCTTTCCCTTTCTTTTTTGGTCTCCCTTTTTTTCCCGATGCTCTCTGACTACCGCCAACTTGCGTCTCGACAACGGGTTCTTGCGTGGGTGTGGGTTGTGTGACGGTTTGGCGCATGAAACCGAATGTGTGAAAAAGGTTTTGTTGTATGTTTGCATTTTGTTGCATAAATGGTGAGGTAGGGAATTGTATTGGGGGTGAGGCGGTATTGAAAAAATTGTCGGAATATGGAATTTGTGGTGAGTTTTGGGAGTTTAGAAGGTTTATGTATCCCTCGTATCCCGCAAAACCCAATGGAGTGGATGTGTTTGTCTTCGGAGGAGGGGTATTCGAGTTTTGATCCATAGTGGGTATTTTGTTTTAAATGAAATAGAGATAGATATAGATAAATAGAGATAGAGAGGTTAGAGTAAAATGATATATATATATATATATATATATATATATATATATATATATATATATATATATATAAAGTAAATTGAAGAAGTAAATTTTTTTTTTTACAATTCCACCGTATACAACAACGGTATTATTACCGTTTTTCAACGGAAAGAAATTGAAACGGTCGAAAATGTATACGTTTGGCTCGTTATCGTGGTAACATCGAATGGCATAACGCGCCTTAACGCGAGCCTGGGGCGGTGTTCCCCGTGATGGCGGCATTAAGGGCGTATGCCACGTAAGATACGCGGCTAACGAGTTGCCCACACCCGTTCGTCTTATGTTAGTTCGTTCAATTATTATAAAAAAAGTTGCATTTTATATTTAACCCTATAAGATTTCTCTATCGTGTCCTTGATTTTGACGCGACTAGATCAAGCCACAATTAGTTTTCTAGTAGTGCCTCCAAAAACTTAATTAATAGACTAATTGTTTATTTAAATTGATATTTCAAAAGAAATAGAGATTTCAAGATTCAACCTTAGTGATATGTTTCTAATATGCTGGTGCGATGGAAGAGTTATATTCATAAATGATTATGAAACATTGCCTATTCATTTTCCCCCGTCCACCTTTTCCATCACCGCAATCGTCGTCGCCACCACCACCACCACCTTCGCCACCAACCGACCACACCACTGCCACTTCCGTCAAGTATACCACCGACACCTCTGCCATCTTCATCTACTCTGCCACGAATCACCATAATCATATATGATTCACACATTTCCGTCATATAATCATTTATGATTTAACATATCTTGTCACGTCGGTATTGCTAAAGCATTAGAGCAATAAATAAGAAATATATGACTGGGGTTGCATGTTAAGATTTTTTTTTTTTTTTTCAGAATCTTAATGGAACTGTAATATGTTTATCTTATCATATTTTGTTTGTATATATACAGACACATTTACCTGCTGAGAGCCAACAACGGTTTGATTTCAACAAATACATTAGTAGGTCGCTTGAAGAAGATTTCAAAGTCGTAGTTGGAATAAGGTTGATAAAAAAATATTTGTTTTTCTTTCATAAATTCTTTATTTTAATTCAAACATGTGTAGCATTTTAGATAATACTAAACCTTTATATCGCAGTCCAACAGTATGGTTTTTTGCGGTCCTGCTCCTTCTCACTAACACCCATGGTAAGAGTGTCAAAGTTTAGAATTTTTTAACTAATGTCCGTCTGATATTATATAATTATATTTATTTATTTAATGTCATACGAACAAAGGATAACATTTTTTTAGTTAAAAAATCTTTAGGATTTGATTATCTAAAGATGACGTAGATTAGTCTTTTTATAAGTAGTATTAATTTAAAAATAAAAGATATTCTATTTAGTAAATATTGATAAATCATCAAATATTTTGGTTATATAATGTTTAGAATCTCATAAATTTCTTTATCTATAATGGGGTTGTCTATCAAATGTTGAATAATTTATATTCATATCTTTTTCTATTCTAATAGAAAAATAATTTTTTTTTGTCATGACCCTATTAGGCTTAATTTCTAATTAATGTTATGTTATTTGTCAACCTATTGGTTTTCCATTTTAAATTTTAAATTAAATTTTCTATTTTAATTAAATAAAATTAATAACATTAGAATAAAAATTAAAAAAAATACAGATTATAAGGTGATATGTTTTTCACGTATTTATATTTCTTAATTAATAGTTTATTTAAAATAATTGATTAGTAATTTTGAATTTTTATTAAGAAAGTTTAATTAATTTTGTAAATAAACTAATATAATTATATAACTATTAATTTCTTTAAATTTTGCAAAATTTAATAGATTGGTACGCATACCTGTGGCTTCCCTTCATCCCATTGATTGTAAGTATACGTTCATGAGTGAATTGTATTACTTAATAGTGATAAGGTTTGATGACTAGAATTTGAGACATAGCGTTGACAATGCAGATGATACTTTTAATTGGAACAAAACTACAAGTGATAATAACAAAAATGGGGAGAAGGACTCATGAAATGGCAGATGTGGTGAAGGGTACACCAATGGTTCAACCAGGAGACGATCTCTTCTGGTTTGGTCGACCCAAACTCGTACTCCTGTTGATCAACTTTGTTCTCTTTCAGGTTAACATATATATAATTCAAATTTTTTCAACTAGATTTCACATGTGAGTTTTTGGTTAACTGTGTTCTAATCTTTTATTTTTGGCTTTACAGAATGCATTTCAACTGGCTTTTTTCTTGTGGAGTTGGGTAAGCATTTTCACCCCAAAATGGTCAATTAATTTCTTGAATTATCTTTCTACATAAAAGGATATGGATCCATTATGCATATCAAGTAATTAGCTGTGTTTCTTTCTTTTTAAAAGTATACATTCGGCTTCAGGTCTTGCTTCCACCATCGGGTTGAAGACATTGTAATCAGGATCTCAATGGCGTAAGTTACAATTTCTAGAGAGTGTCTTATAATTAACAAACAACCTACTCATCCAGCTAATGTTAGTATGTGTATATGTTGCTCTTTTTCAGGGCAGTGATACAGTTTCTATGCAGTTATGTGACACTTCCTTTATATGCATTAGTAACACAGGTAAAGTTTTTGGTTAACTGCAACTTTTTGAAGTTTATTACACTCCCTTTTATGCACCCTCGTGACTCTTTAACATTGTAGAACAAACAAAAGCAATCTTTAATCCTCTGACCTTTTTCGGTTTCTTGTTCACATGTTATATATATAACAGATGGGTTCAAGAATGAAACCCACCATTTTCAGTGAGGATGTAGCAAAAGCCCTGAAAACATGGCACCATACAGCCAAAAAGAACATCAATCACGGACATTCACCTTCAAATTCACCATTCTCAAGTAGGCCTGGGACCCCACTCCATGGAAGTACATCTCCTATGCATCTTTTGCATAGATACCCAGACAACAATCTTGATAGTCTTTCAAATTCTCCACAAGGCTCACACTTTGAACACGAAGGTTGGGCCAATGAGTCTCCTCAGAGACATGAGCAGAGATATGAAGATGCTGAGAACATTAGAAAAGATGATGTACATGATACAGAAGAAGGCGAGATTCAAGAACAAAGCACAAGCTCAACTCAGTTGCCGACTGGACCTAGACCGATTAGGGCTCAACATGAGGTTGATATTTCAGACTTTTCGTTTGGTCGAGGTAAGTAATTGAGTACTGTATATGGAAGATACTTCAGTCATAAGTATAGTTAATTCATCTTGATGTAGCAATTCCCTACACAACATACATGTATCACTTAGATGTTTAAAAAAAAAAAAAAAAAAAAAAAAAAAAAAAAAAATTATTGTTGAGTGAAACACGTATTATGCGTAGATATATGTCGAGTTTCCGTTCATTTGCTACTAGAATTACTGCCTATAGCGATGGAAAATATCTGTCACACATGCTCAATCAGATCAGCAAAACCAGTTTAACAAGTAGCGTTCAAGTGTTCAGGTTAGCGACAGCCTTTGTTGACTACCTATTTTGTCGCTAGTTACTTATATAAGAGACAGACCGAAACCGTATTTGGGCTACAATTTTGGTCGTTTTTAGTAAAAACTAAATTTTGAAAAGAAAAAATAAAAAATAAATAAGTAAATACATATGTCATTTCTAAGTCCGAAAGAAAAATATACTACTACATAAAGATAATTTAGGCTATAATTTTAAAATTTTCACTTTATATTTTAATATAATTAATAAATAGATATATACAAGCACATATCAATCATATACAAATTCGATGATTAACCTACTCCAGTTAATGTATTAACATTCTTAGTTGTTAATTAAAGTTTAAATATTGAATTGATACCTTGCAACCTCAAATTTTAAAGTAATCATTGCCTATTATTAGATTTTTTATTTACCTCCTTAGTATGTAGCATAAATAATGTTTCAATCCGGAACAAATTATGGTCCCACTTCATTCTAAAATACCAAACACCTATACTTATCATCAATAGAAAGGGACAAATTTTTATACTTTAAACATTTTTTAATTAACTTTAGCTTAAACTGAACTTGGTGTATATATATATATATATATATATATATATATATATATATATATATATATATATATATATATATAAACTACTAGAAACAGAGGTACCAACGACGAAATTTAGTAGCCAAAAAAACCATTGTCGCTATTGTTAGCGACGGATTAACGACGCCACAAAGTGTTCAAGGAACCTCTGGATTCCGTCGCTAATCCGTCAATGATGTTTGTAACTAATCCGTCCCTGATGAGTTATTGAATTACAAAATAAGTTTTCAGGAAAGCACTGATAACCAATGGATTCTGTCTTATTTTCGTTGCTGATTGTCAGTTACATCATTAATTTTGTTGTTCTAAATCTATAACCATAATTTACAAAATAAATTTAATGTATATAATATATAAACTAAAATTAAAATTGAACTTCTAAATTAAATATAAATACTTGACTAGGAAAATGAGGATTAATATTCGATTTCAAAGTATTGAAGCCAAATCACATTCAAAGTATTGAAACTAAATCACAAAAATCAAATGTCCAAGTCTAAATCGATTTCAAAGTATCGAAACCAATTTACAAAAATCAAGTGTGAAAGTCTAATTAGTTGGATAGACTACTTCCTTGGATGAATCAAGTGTGAATGTCGCTATAAATCTTGACAATTCCTTGTTTTTTATACTTAAATTTTTCACGTTCCACCCTAACCTAATCATTTAACTCTTCACGAATACGATTAATAATAACCTACAAAGTAAACAATTTCTAACAAAGTACTTTCAAAAAACTCATCCTTCATCCTTTTAAAACTAAACCATAATTTACCAAATACATTTAATGTATATAATATATAAACCAAAATTATAATTCTAACTTCTAAATTAAATATAAATATTTGACTAGGAAAATGAAGATTAATATTCAATTTCAAAGTAGTAAAGTCAAATCACATTCAAAGTATTGAAACTAAATCACAAAAATCAAATGTCAAAGTCTAAATCGATTTCAAAGTATCGAAACCAAATTACAAAAATTAAGTGTGAAAGTCTAATTAGTTGGATAGGCTACTTCCTTGGGTAAATCAAGTGTGAATGTCGCTATAAATTTTGACAATTTCTTATTTTTTGGCCTCAATTTTTTCACGTTCCACCCTAACCTCATCATTTATCTCTTCACGAATACGATCAACAATAACCTACAAAGCAAACAATTTGTAACAATGTACTTTCAACAAGCTCATCATTCATCCTTTTAAAACTAATTTCATTTTAAAAGGTAATGAAACTATTAGTTGATGATAACATTATAACTTATAAGAGACCTTACGCTAGTTTTCTATCTCGAATGAATGATTTGTAGTTTATACTAGATAATATATGATCCAACTTCTCGCTTTGATTCTGAAAAAAGTATACAAGATAATAAGAAAAACATCCAATAATTCATTAAGATAAATACTTGGTTGTTTATAAAATGTTTTACATAAATTTTAAATATTGGTTTCTTATTAAAGCATTGCATTTTGAGAGTAGAATGATATAAATGGGTAGCCTTTCAAATCATTATGTGTGTGTTTGTATTTTTATGTATATGTAGGATTTTATGTATGGATGTTTATCTGTATGTATGGTTATATATATGTGCATTGGTCTGATAAAAGAAATAATTGAAAGCATGTTACTAAAAATGAATAAGTAGTAAAGACGCTATCGGTTATGCCATTTTTGCCACATGCCCATATTCTGTAGTAAAAAAAAAATTAGGATATGAAAAACAGAAAACAGTCAACCAATAAAGCATGGCTTAAGATAGTTTCATGTATATTATTCAAAATAATATAAAAAGGGGACAAAATTGCATGAAAATGAAGTACATTTCAATTTCTTTTTTACACCATGTTTCTTCAAGACTTCCATTAACCCAAGAAAAATTGTAATTAATAAAATTTACTCAGTGTCAGAGCAAGAAAGAAATATTTACTTAATGTTTTTTAACCAGATGATTTTATAAATATTAATAAAATATATTAGCACATGTTCATCAAAAGAGATACAAACAATATCCACAGCCTTTCTTGTAGCAATATACTCTTTAGCCTCATCCATTCAACTCAATTCAAAACAATTTGTTTGATTAAGGTAATGGAATGACTTAACCTATCCCAATTTATACTTTTCAGTCACCTGAAATGATGCAATACCAAACAAATTATAAATAGATCAAATTCCTAAACATCAAAACAACAATTAGACTAATTACCTTAGTAGGTGCAACACAAATCATGTAAAACAATGGTAATTTCTATCATAAAGTAGAAAACAGAACAAAAGTCCAAATCCAAAAAGCGTCCACATGAGACCAGGAAATCTAGTTACCCTATTACATGAATAGGTAGGTACTACTTACAATTTACCAGAACTCTTGTAAAAATAGTTCTTCAAAAGAGTAATCAGTTTGGCAATTACCTTCGCAGTCAAGGAAATATGAAAGGGAGCCACCAATTCTTTAAGAATATGATACATAAAATAATTAAAAACACCAATTTGATATGAAAATACCTCTCTAATGATCAACTTGATATTCTCCATTTTTGGACCATATTTGAGAATTCAGATCTAAATTCGAAACTAAGTAGAGCCAAATCACATGCACCATCAATGTACTACGAATACGAAAAGTAAGGGATACAATAGGCATGTAGGTAATCAGATGATAAAGATTTGATGAAAAATTGAAAACAAATGACACTTTCAGACATCTCCAAGTATCATATCCTTTTGTAGAAACTTGATTAAAAGTATATATAAATGCAAAGTTTAATAAAATAAAAGTATATAGAGAAATGTAGATAGACTATGAGCCATGCCCTCCATTTATCTAGTAATAATTGCTAACAATTCAGTTTTTGGAAAATTCTCAACGAAAATGTACATATTTCAGCCCTTATTAAGCTATAAATTTTGATCCATAACTTTCCTCCTTCATTGTTTCCATAGTTAATTTCTCTTAGGATCCAAATTAACTTAAATGTAAAAATCCATAAAAAAGAAATTTCAAGGGGTACCTCCTGGCAGCTTTTAAGACTCTGAGGCAGATATTGTGTGAGGCGCCAATTCTGACCCAGCCGGAGGGTGTTAAAGATTGTGTAGTGTACTGTGATGCATCAGTTTTAGGTGCAGTGTTGATGCAGAGGGGCCACATATCACTTACGCTTCGAGGCAGCTGAAGGCTCATGAGGCGAATTATCCTACGCATGATTTGAAGTTGGAGGGTTGTGGTGTTCACCCTCAAGATCTGGTGACATTACCTCTATGGGGTCCGTTGTAATATTTACATGGATCACAAGAGTCGGAGGTATCTGATGGATCATCCGAATCTGAATATGAGGCAACATAGATGGTTGGATGTGGTGAATGATTACGATTGCGAGATCCTTTATCACCCGGAAAAGGACAACATGGTGGCCGATGCTCTCAACCGTAAGGTAGTTGTTGCCCTGATCAGGGATGTGTGTTTGAGGATGACAGTGATTACCTCACTCTTAGAACAAATTCAAGTGGCTCAGATTGAGGCTATGAAAGAAGAGCACCGGAAGAGTAAGCGCGTAGTGGGTCGGCTGGCTTCCTTTGGTTATGATAGCTGGGGATTATTGACCCATAATCAGAGGGTGTAGGTTCCATGCTGGAGTGGTGCACAACAGGTTTTGATGGAGGAGTCCTACAAGTCGAGATTCTCTATTCATCCCGGGGCGACAAAAATGTATAAAGATCTCCGGCTTGACTATTGGTGGCCATGTATGAAGTGAGACGTGGCCTGGTATGTGGAGAGATGCTTGACTTGCAGGAAAGTCAAGGTCGAGCATCAACGATCTCACAGAAAAATGGAGCCGTTGGAAGTTCCTGTTTGGAAATGGGAAAAGATTACAATGGATTTTATCACAAAATTGCTTCGGAAGGCATGCAAATTGGATTCGATATGGGTCATCGTGGATTGATTAACCATTCAAGAGTGTGTATTTTATTCCGATCCAGGAGAGTATTTCGGTAGAGAAGCTGGCCAATATCTACATTCGGGAGGTGGTGGCAGGGCATGGGGTGCCGGTTTATGTAGTCTCTGATAGGGATGTTTGGTTTACTTCCAGGTTCTGGAAGAGATTCCACGAAGAGTTGGGTACTCGTTTGCACTTCAACACGACTTTCCACCTTCAGACTGATTGTCCAAGTGAGCGACCTATCCATACATTGGAGGACATGTTGCGGGCATGTGTACTGGATTTTGGCAGTGGTTGGTATACTTATCTTCCTTTAGCGGAATTTTCATATAACAATAGTTATCACGCCAGCATTGATCGACCTCCTTTTGAGATGTTCTATAGGAGGAAGGGTATGACCCCAATATGTTGGGGTGAGGTCGGTCAGCGGGTCATGGGGATTACGGAGGTGGTACTCAAAACGACGAAATTGATTAAGCAGGTTCGCGACAGACTAAAGACAGCACAGAGCCGACATAAGAGCTACATAGATAGATGTCGGTCAGACTTGGAGTTTCTGGTTGGGTATATGGTACACCTGAAGGTGTCACCTTGGAAATGTGACATCCGATTCAAGAAGCGGGGTAAGCTAGGCCCCATGTATATTGGTCCTTTCAGGGTGTTAGCCCGGGTAGGCAGGGTTGCGTATCGTTTGGATCTGTCGGAGGAGCTCAGTATGATCCATAGCACTTTTCATGTCTCTCAGCTGCGGAAATGTTTGGTTGATGATTCTATAGTGGTTCCATTGGAGGACATTTAGGTGGACAATCGCCCGAATTTATATATAGATGCCACTAGCGATCCTTGACAGGAGGACAAAGACTTTACAAAACAAGGTGATGGATCTCTTCAAGGTGCAGTGGTAGCACCAAAAGAGGTCTGAATGGACGTAGGAGCATGAGGAAGAGATAAGGGAGCATTACCCAGAGTTATTTACGGAAGCGAACTTCGAGGACAAAGTCTGATTCAAGTGGGGGAGAATTATAATATTCGATTCAAGTTATCTTTCATTTTGACCCTTGGTGTGAATATAGTTTGCAAATTTGGTCCCAATGGGGAATTATTGTAATTTTGGGAAAGATGAGCATACGATGGGCATACTTCTAGTACGCATGGCGTACGTGATTAGGGGACAAACCCTAATTTTAGGGTTTGGACCCTATTAAAAACCCTTATGCCCAAGGTTTCCTCCTTACCAGCCCTCATAGCCTCTTTTGAGTCCCATTTCGAAACCCTAACCCTTTTCTAGAGAGAGTTAACATTTGTATGTGTATTGGTGTGTGTTTGGTCTATCTTCAAGAAGAAGAAGCTTGGTTGACTAGAATTGATCAAGAAGGAGCTTCTAGATCCAAATTATATCCATCATTTTCAGCTTCAAAAGGTATAAAGCTTTGACCTTGCTCATTCAATGCTTAGGTCAAGATCTACTGGATTTTTGGTCACTTTTTGGTCCCATGAATGAGATCTAGTGGGAATTTACTAGTCCAGAAGTTATGAGTTGCTCCTCTTGATGTTTCTGAGATCCCTAGTCCATAAATTTGCATCTTGATGATTGAAGATCAACCATACATGAGTAAATGTCCATTTGATTAAAGTAGGATGCTAAATCTAAGGTTTGAGTCCATTTTAGCCATGGAAAGGCATCAAGTTAGTGACTTAATGGATTAAGACGTTCCCCAAGGTATGGATCTAAAATATGCACATTTCGTCTTAAGCATTAAGGGCGTAATGGATGAATTGGTTGAATGGGGCGTACGTCAGGCGTACGTCAGGCGTACGAAGACGTACGCTGCCCGTACACGTCTGGATCCTCGATCTGGCATAACGACCTAGTACGTCGAGTGTACTAGTGGTACGCTTAGCATACTCGACTTGGACTTGAAGCTTTTGATGTTTGGGTCGCCATTGGACTTTGGGTTTTGGGTCACTTGTTAGGCCACCGGTTTTTCTGAGTTTGGCCATTGTTAGTCCTTGGGCCTTCATGGATTTGGGCCCATATTGGGCCTTGAGTGTCTTTTGGGATTTGAGTCATTATTGGACTTTTAATGTCATTAAGTTTGGGCCACGACTATTGGGTCGATTGAGGGAATGGTAAATTGGTCTTTTACTAGTTGATTAGAGTCCCGATTATGGCCATGACCCAATTATTAATTAGGGTTTTATTTGATTGGTTAGTGCAGGGATTCTCCAGTTCAGTAGCCCGAGCATCTATTCGATTGCCAGCGGACTAAGGTGAGTTTGCTCATTATACTGTAGGACACTAGGGATTGTATCTGCTCGTAGTCTTGTGACTCCTGTTGTATGTGTTGTATGCATGTGTGTATGTTTGCTATATGTATGTGGGGTGAAATAGACCCGGTACAACCTTGGGCTGACATATGAGTTGAAATAGACTCGGTACAACCTTGGGCTGACATATGAGTTGAAATAGACTCGGAAGTGAAATGGACTCGAGGGTGAAATAGCCTTGAACTGACGTATATGTATAATATGCGGTATTTTGGGGGACTGACTAAGTTTTGTGCTTACGGTTTTCGATTTACGTTTCATGTACTTCCAGTTCCAAAGGGCAGGCCTCGGGATGATCGCATTGCACACATTATAATTTTTCGCTTTATTGACTCTGGTGTAGTTCTGGGATGGTTGTTGATACTCTCTGAATACTTTATGGTTTTGTCAAATATGTTTGGTTGATCGTTTATTTAATATGAAAACAAAAATTTTTGGTTTTGAGTTTTGGGACGTTACAAAATGCCAATTTTAATCAAACTTGAATTCCATCGCTAATTCGTAGGAAATCCGTAGCTATTCCGTAGGAAAAAGTCAATTTTAGTCAAACTTGACTCATGTCGATAATTCATAGGAAATCTGTAGTTATGTACTTTCGTAGCTATTTTGTAGGAAAATAGTCAAATTTAGTCCAACTTGAATCCCGTCGGTAATCCGTAGGTATTCCGTACAATACCTATGGAAGAAAAGGTAGGTATTTCGTAGCTAGTCTGTCGTAAATCCGTATATATAAATTTCCCACGGTCGTTTATACTACATACCTTTTTCCGTAGCAATTTCGTAGGTATTGTCTTATACCTACCGAATATCTAGGGATTGTGTCGTAAGTATTGCCTTAGTTTTCTAGTAGTGACTTGTTTTTTTATTTTAATGAAAATTTTAGTTTTATATAATCTAATACATTAGTTTTTATAAAAATTAATTTTAGCCGTAAATAAAAGAAAAAAATATTGTGGCAAACCATCCCTTCCCCTAAATGGCAAGTTTCTGAAAAGGAGTGGCAAAAATGAATCCACTTCCTCTAACTTTATATTTAATCGAAAAAATCTTACGTTAAACAAAGAGGAAGTGCGAGATCAGGGATCCAAAAAAAAAAGTAATGGAGGATGATCTCTATAAAAGGTCAATAGGGAGAGAATAAAGTAAAGGAGAGTGAATCACAATCCTAGGTAGGGAACTCTCGATTATATGTGAAGTGTGAACTTTTAACGTATTTTGAGAAAATTAGATGTCAACGGTATTTGACTTGGTTGATCTTTAAATATTTTTTAATTCAAAATTACAAATATGGAAAAAAAAAAAAAATAACTTTTACGTTCTATGAAAAAACGGATACGTATATGATCTAGAATCAGGGTTGACAGCTTGTGTGTGTAAAAGGAAAAAAGAAAAAAGAAAAGATCAGTTCCCAAAAGGTTAGTTCAACTTTAGACCAAGTCATGATATTGGATAATATTATAATGTAAGATATCCCGACTCGGTATGCAAATAGGTGTTTTGGCATCTTACACTAGTTTAGGTAAAGTCAAAGTCTCTGAAGTTTATCGTTATGCCAAATACTTTATTCTTGATGACTATATCGTGATCTATATATAACCAATAATCTCTTTCAAATTTCACAAAACTATTATTCTTTCAACTTTTATCACCCAACTCAACTCGTCAATCCTTCTTCCACCAAATAAGAGAGAGAGAGAGAGAGAGAGAGAGAGAGAGAGAGAGAGAGAGAGAGAGAGAGAGAGAGAGAGAGAGAGAACTCATCAATCCTTCTTCCACCAAATAAGAGAGAGAGAGAGAGAGAGATGGATGTAGATGATGGTGATTATGAAAGGAAAAAAGAGAGAGCCTTAGAGGTAACACCAACATGGGCAGTAGCAGTTGTGGTGTTTGTGATACTTGCCATTTCAATTGTTCTTGAATACATCCTTCATCTAATTGGCCATGTATGTACCTCAATTCACATCTTCTTCTTTTTTTCTTCTATTTTAGTGTCATAAACAACGTATCAATTTGAAAAACCAAAAACAAAAAAATAAACTGAATATTTTTTTATTTCTATAAATTTGTAGTGGTTACATAATAAACAAAAGAAAGCACTCGGTGAAGCCCTTGAAAAGATCAAAGCAGGTAAAATTATAATGGTTACTCAACGATCAGTCATAATTTCATTATATATTGTTTGACTTTTTTAATTTATTCAAATGCGTACACTTTGCAGAATTGATGATTCTAGGGTTCATATCGCTGCTGCTAACAGTGGGTCAACAACCAATCTCTGATATATGTATTCCAAGTAAAGTTGGACGAACATGGCACCCTTGTAACAAGAAAACGGCAGACGATTATTACTATGATCCATGTCTTAAAAAGGTATTGTATATCATCTCACTTCTTTGATTTTTATTTAACTTTTGATTACGTTTTTAAAAACTTCAGTGTTTTTTTTCCTTAAATTTTTGTATCTTATTAAATGACGATATATATTAATTAAATTATGAGAGCTTCGTGCAGGGAAAGGTGCAAATGGTGTCATTTTATGGGATACATCAACTCCACATATTCATCTTTGTGTTGGCTGTGGTTCATGTCTTGTATTGCCTTCTTACCTTGATTTTGGGTAAACTCAAGGTAAAAATCGTCATGATTTTTATTAGACATACATACATACATACATACAAGCAAAACGTTCTTTAATATTTTAATCTCTATGATCTGTAATAAAATTGGATTCAGATGAGGAAGTGGAGGGCATGGGAAGATGAAACCAAGACGCTCGAATATCAGTATCATCACGGTATAGTGTTATATTCATTTTTTAAAGATTAATTATATATATATGATTATTTATTGATGAAATGTATAATTGTTTCATTATCTTAATTTTCTATTCAGATCCAGAGAGATTTAGGTTTGCACGGGAGACGACTTTTGGGCGTCGACATTTGAGATTTTGGAGCAACTCCACGGTTCTTCTATGGATCGTAAGTGTTTATATAAGAAATATAATAGAAAATAAAATATCACTCTAATCAATTGATTTCTTGAGAACAATCTTATTTGAATTTTGATATTATTTAAATATTTTAACAAGTTATAATGAATAGTATTCAATCACAAAACTGACATGTAATTCAAGAAATCAATCACATGGAAAAGTTGACATTTTATATATAAAAAAATACATGCAACCGCACATTAATTTGTCCACTCAAATATATTGTTTTGACTTTTGACTACATTGCGCAATTTGACATTTTTTTAAATATTTTTAGAAACACATAAATATTTCATTCTCAAAAAAAATAACAACGTTTATAAAAATGTTTTTAGTATTATTATTTAACTCTATAATTGGTGTGCGTACTCGGAATGAATCAATGTTAATTAATTATGTAATACAAATCAATGTTTAAGCATTTGTTCAAAACCATTTTTCTTCGGTTTTAATATTTTAAGTTAGTAAAAAAATCAAATAAATTCAAGATTTTAAATTATCATTTTCAAGAAATATGAGTAATAACTAAAATTTAAAATTGTAATGTATAATATTTGACTTGATATTCCAATTATTTATTATGATATCTCATTTAATTATGTTCACTAATTTTGAATCTGCTACAAAATGTAGGGCTGTTTTTTCAGGCAATTCTTTAGATCGGTTCCGAAAGTTGATTATCTTACCCTCCGACATGGCTTCATCAATGTAACTACTCTACACAAACCTTTTGATTCTATTATATATTTTGCTCGATTTACTAAAAAGGAGTAGCAAATTATACTCGGTATCTTCACAAATTCTTTTATATATATAACTTAATAAACATTGTTAATTTGTATATACAGACGCATTTACCTCATGATAGCCAACAACAGTTTGATTTCCACAAATACATTAGTAGGTCACTTGAAGAAGATTTCAAAGTCGTAGTTGGAATAAGGTTGCTCATTTAATTTGTTTTCATTAATTATTGTCAAAAAAAAATTATTTTTTTATAAGTATTTTGAAATTCTTTACTTAATCAAACATGCATGAAGCTTATAAGAGAATTAATCTATGTAATGCAGTCCAGTAGTATGGTTTTTTGCGGTTCTACTCCTTCTCACCAACACCCATAGTAAGTGACAAAGTTATAAATCTAAAATTATTTTATCATAATAACTTATATATGCAATCAAACTTTAAAAAACTTTGGAAATTTATTAACAACATTGTCATACGTTTCTGGTCTTATTAACAAAATTTACACAATTTTTATCTAATGATAGGCTGGAAAGCATACCTTTGGCTTCCCTTCATCCCACTGATTGTAAGTATTAATCTCATCTTATGTATATATATGTTCATAAGTGGATCAGATATATATAATCACTACGATTTGAGACATATTGTTGACCATATATATATGCAGATAATACTTATAATTGGAACAAAACTACAAGTGATAATAACACAAATGGGGAGAAGGACTCATGAAATGGCAGATGTGGTGAAGGGTACACCAATGGTTCAGCCAGGAGACGATCTCTTCTGGTTTGGTCGACCCAAACTCGTACTCCTATTGATCAACTTTGTTCTCTTTCAGGTCAACATATATATAACTCACAGTTTTTTCAACTCGATTTGTTGCCACTGTGTTCGATCTAATCATATCTTTTATTTTTGGTTTTACAGAATGCGTTTCAACTAGCGTATTTCTTATGGAGTTGGGTAAGCATTTTCACCCAAAAACGCTCGATCTATTAAATGGTTTTGGTATAGAAAAGGACAATTGCCAACAAGTTTCTTTCTTTCTTTTTAATTAACAGAATAAGTTCGGCCTCGACAGTTGCTTCCATGAACGCCCTGAAGACACTGTAATCAGACTAACAATGGCGTGAGTTACAATTACTTGAGACTGTCGAATAACATATATATTAATACTCAGCTTAATTGTTCATCAAACCACATGATATACTCATGCTAATGTTAGTATGTTTCTCGTTTTTCAGGGTGGTGATAGAGGTTTTATGCAGTTATGTGACGCTTCCTTTATACGCCTTAGTAACACAGGTAAAGTTTTCGGTTAACTGCAACTTTGTAGTGTTGCGACTTGCGACATTCTCGTGATTCTTGAACATAGTACAACAAACAAATCTATCTTTAAGCCTTGACTTTTTTCGGTTTCTGGTTGACTTGTTGTTAAACAGATGGGTTCAAGAATAAAACCCACCATTTTCAGTGAGGATGTAGCAAAAGCTCTGAAAACATGGCACCATACAGCGAAAAAGAACATCAAGCATGGCCATTCAGCTTCAAACTCACCATTCTCAAGTAGACCTGGAACTCCACTCCATGGAAGTACATCTCCAATGCATCTTTTGCATAGGTACCCTGAAAACAGTTTTTATAGCCCTTCAAATTCTCCAAGAGCAGGCTCACACTTTGAGCATGAAGGTTGGGCCAATGAGTCTTCTCACAGAAACGAACAGAAATATGAAGATGCTGACAACTTTAGAAGAGATGAAATGCATGATATAGAAGAAGGCGAGATTGAAGAACAAAGCACAAGTAGTTCGACTCAGTTGCCATCAGGACCAAGACCTGATAGGCATCAACATGAGGCTGATATTTCCGAGTTTACGTTTAAATAAGTAATTAAGAATTGTATAAAAATGAATACTTGAGTCATAAATATAATTTAAACATCTTGATGTATTCCAACACCTTATACTTGTATATCATTTCAATCTCCAATTCATAAAATCTAAGAACTCATTGGGCTAGCCAACTTTCGTCCATGCATCATAAACATCTCTCCCAAAGGTTGTTAATTTTTATATGATCATGGAGCACATAGAGACATGTTTACAAGTTTTATCCTAAATAATAAAGATTGTTTCCATTACACTCAAAATATGACATTAGAGGTTTGTTAGGTTGGATTGATTGTAATGACGAAAGAAAGACATGGATGAGTCATTACTAGTCATTACATTCCATGATGGAATGAAAAACGTGTTCTAATAAGGAATGAAAATTTAAGAAAATAAAGGAAAGATGTTCTTATGAATAGTTCATTTCATTCCATGAGATAATATAAATAGATATTTTCATTCCAATGAAATGAACCATTTTATTCATTTCCCAATTTCATTATATCAACACTACCTAGCTAGGTAGATAATGCTAAAAAAAGATAATGCCAAATAGAAAGCCACGTCAAGCTAAATCTGCACTACATGTGCACAAGAGATGCTCAATAAATGCTTTTGTATTCTGTGGTCCTCGCATTAGTTATCGTGTCGGATAGTTATTCTATTACTTCTAATAAATTAAACTTCGACCAAGATATAAAACATGTAGCATCAGGAGTCCTGCTCTTGTATTTGAACATAAAAGATCTAAATGTATAGGCATGCAAACACAGTTAATACCAGCAAGAAAATACTATTCATCTATGTAATTAAAATAAAACTAAAAACGCTCTATGTGATAAATAATAATATCGTATTTTGAGCCATCAACAATACATGTGATAAATAACAAGTGGTATTTTGAACCATCGACCAAAAAGCTTTCTAAAGAGTATGTTTTTTATTCAATCAATGTCGTCTTCCAGTTCTTCAAACCCATCTTCCTCAAGATTCAACACCCACTCAAAAAGAAAACTGGCCTCTGTTTTTCATGAAAATAATTTTACCATGTTTTGATGAAAAAATTCACACCTTCAACCAGTTTAATTATTTGATCAACGATATTATAAAACTGAAATCACCAAGTAAAACTTTGTTCTAGTTCTTAAGTTTCTTGATTCTCTACATGAGAGTTGGGAACACCATATAGTTGTTCTCAGGGGCGGCTCAACCAATTTGAGGGCTCTAAGCAAACAAAAAAATTGGGGCCCCTCGGTTTTATAACTTAAACCAAATTCCAAATATTTCTTAATGCATCTCAACTAATCGCTTATATAAACATGAAATTTGCTGAAATTTTGATCTCCCGACCGATGTGGGACTCAAAAGTAAAGTTAATATGAAGCAAGAGGATGGTCGAGCTTATATAAGAGAGGAGAGTTGGTTGAGTTTCATCCATGAGCGATGTGGGATATGGTTAATTAACTTCCAAAATAAAAATGAATGAAAGGTAAGCAAACAAATTTGACCCCGAGACATTTGGTTTGATAAACTAGCGTTTTTACCACCAGGCCAAGCTCCAACTTAACTTTGTAATCCAAGAAATACGTGTGTGTGTGTGTGTATATATATATATATATATATATATATATATATATATATATATATATATATATGATACCATAATTCTTTTAACTTGTAAATTTCTTAATGATTATGATTAATGTTTAAAAGACATAAATGATAATTTAAAATACAAATAGTTTTGTTTTTAGATAACGTATTTGCTTGTAACGAATTTTAATACTAACTCTTATGAATTGTCTAACATCATGAATATGATTATTGTTTAAAATCGTACCTAGATTATTAGGTTTGTAAGAATCTTTGAGATTTGCTCAGAATTATTTATAGATTCTTGAATTTGTTGTATTTTTAAAAGAATATCTCTATTAGGAGTACAATTTATCAAGATTTTGTTAGACATAATTAAATAATTCAAGCATGAATTTGATTAATTTGATTATTAAAAACGACTACTATTTTAACAAAAATTTCAAATCTTGTAGAATTAATAGTTAGAACGACTCGAAATGAAATTATCATGAAGAAATAAAAGCAATACAACAATTGAATAAATATTTTAGATAATACCTTCTTGAACTAAGCTTGAATTACAATCAGTACATACATCTGGAGAAAGAATTATCTGAAAATCTAGAGACTTTAAACATCTGCTAGTAGAAAGAGAGACTCTTGGAGATTTTTTAGACATAGGATGAACATTTTTTAGAAAATGAATATTTTTTTCTTGCTTTTTTCTACTAACACATGATGTCTATTTATATTCCTTTTGAAGTCTTCAAAACCTTGAAATCTTGTAGTGAAATCTTGCCGTATGATTCAATGGCCAATCAATTATTTTTAAGTGGTTGTCACTTTCATCTTTTGAAGAAATTGTCGTTTGTAATCAATAAATATCATCTTTTGATAAAGCATGTCTTCATAGAGCATCTTCTAAAGTTTTTTGTCTTCATATTATCCATCATAGAGCATCTTGTAAAGTTTTTTGTCTTCATATAATTATTGATGATGAGAACAAATAATTTTGATAATAAATTTGATAATATTTGTTTTATACACTATAAATACATATAGTGTATAATCACACAGTATATACACACTCGTATTTGAAAATAATGAATTTGATAAATAGAAGAAACGAAATACCCTACATTGAAGGTATTACACCAAATTTAATGATAATAATTTCTTATTCTTCATAAGGATCATCAAAAAGGTCTTGAGCGTCTTGAAATAAACCATTCTTTATAGATTTTGGAGAATCGTCAGAAACTGATGGAGTTTACCGAATTTCTTGAAGTAAGTTTTGAAGTTCTTCAGGAGAAGAGGTAGCAGCATCTTTAATTCTTGAAATTAAATCCACATCACTTTGAGGAAGACTTTTAATAAAAGTGGCTTCAACTTCCGGTTTTTGAATATATATTTCTTGATAATATTTAATTACTGCTTGTTCACTGGCTTGAGAAATCTTCATTTTATCCCACCATTTTGAGCGAAATTGTCGATTAAGCCAGGGAGGAGAGGTATCCTTTGCTTCTTGATAATGAAAAGTCCAAGACATTATCCATGGAACTCTGAATATCATAGTGAATTGTAGCATATATTCAAATTCTGGAATTTGTTGAATAAACAATTCCTTAAATTTGAGATATCCATTGTAAATTTCTTTTGGTAAACAATTTGGAAGAATTCTCATATATTTATACCAATTGATAAACCATCTTGGGTATTCACAATTGAAGTTTAAATCAAAGAAGATAAACCATGAGTGTGAATAATTTCGAATAAAGAACGCCTTAGTCCAGGCATCTTGATAATCATAGTAAGAAAATCTGGGATAAGCAGGATAACTTATAAGAGGTTTTTCAGAATGAAGGTTTGGAACCCAACTTTCTGGAGAAATGATTTTGATGATGTGAGCTTTGCTAAAATCAATGTTTCCTTCTTTTGAATTAGAACGATGAACAAAATTGACCGAACCAGATTCTTGTAAAATAGCTTGATAATATTCTCGAGTTTTATATGAATCAACATAAAAGGTTTTCCCTTGACCAAAAAGATGATTTGTGAGAATATGAAAACCTTGATGTAACTTATGGATTTGAAAATCTTCAAGAATTTGAACTCTTAAGAAATTTGGATTAAGAACATAAGGAGTTTTTGTAGGAGGGCTAGGAGTCACAAAATTTTGAGTTTGAGGAGTAAAAGGTCTTACAAAAGGGCTTATCGTGTTTGTTGAAGTAACTTTTGGAGTAACAAGTTTTGATTGAAGGATATTAGAATAAAGTTGTGAATTCTTAGAAGTAGGGGTTAAAGGAGAAAAACGATTTTGATTTTGAAATGGAACAAGCTTTTGATAGACGGGTTTCTTGTCATCATGTTTGGAAGAGGACGATGAACTCATTTTCCCTGCAAAAATTCTCGAGAAAGAAAGTCAGGAAGCGAATTATTTTCGCCTTTTATGAATTCTATTTCGAAATCAAAGTTACCTAAAAGGGCTTGCCATCGAGCAAAAATTTGTTTGGAAATAATATTTTTCACATCATTTTCTAAAATAGTTTTTGCAGATTGACAATCTATTCTTAATAAAAAACTTTTCATAAATAAATCATCTTCAAATTTTTTAATACATAAAACAATGCTTAAAATTTCTTTTTTGACAGTTGAATAATTTTTTTGTGTATCATTCCATGCACCAGAGTAATATCGAACCAATTGTTCTTCTTTTGAATTAACAAATTTTTGTTTTAGAATTCCTCCGAATCCAATATCACTAGCATCGGTTTCAACTATGATATTGGCATTGGGATGAGGTAAATTTAAACATGGCAAAGTAGGAACCTTTTGTTTTATATATTTAATTATATATGTATGTTTTTGAGTCCATGGTTCAGGATTATCTTTTAATCTGTTATAAAGTGGTTTACATATAATCCCTAAATCTTTGAAAAAATCATGGATATAATTTAAGCATCCTAAAAATCTTTGAAGTTGCTTTTTATCCTTAATTTCATCAGGAAATTTAGTAGAAAACTGCAAACTTCTTGTAATAGGTCTAATAGTGTTTTTGACAATATCATGCCCTAAAAAACGAATTTCATCTTTAAATAAATGCATTTTTGCTGCAGAGACAGCTAAACCATTTTGATAAATTAAATCATAAAATTGATTTAAATGTTTGAAATGTTGATCAATTGATTTTGAAAAAATTAGGACATCGTCAATATAAGCAATAGCAAAACTACTTATAGGAATTATGATATCATTCATAATATTTTGGAATTCAGAAGGGGCATTTTTTAATCCAAAAGGCATTACATTCCATTCAAAATGCCCGAAGGGAACATTAAAACCAGTTTTGTATTTATCTTCCTCATGAAGTTGTATTTGCCAAAATCCTGATTTCATATCAAACTTTGAAAATATATTTGAATCATAAAGTTTTTTTTTAGCAAGTCTCGTTTATTAGGAATAGGATAACGAATCCATTCTAAAACTTTGTTTAAAAGTTTATAATTGATAACTAGTCTTGGTGATCCTCTTTCTAATTCTACGGCATTCATAACATAAAATGTTGAACAAGACCATGGTGATTTAGAATGTCTTATAAGTTTTTTATTTATTAAATCTTGAA